TATAAATCTGTTCATTTCATCATGTTTCTAGAGATTGTAATCTGACATTGTATTTATGGTCTGTTGTTTTGTAAATCTGAAAAAACTGTGGATGAAGAGAGCCGACATGAGTCCCTCTGTGCATAGAAGATTGAGACATGTTCTGCCCCCAATGTCTTTGTTTCCATCAGCCTCTTAATGTGTACATACGTACACACAGGCTTGCACACTTCTACTTAATTCCTGTGATGCTGAGTCCCTCGTCTTTACTTGCTCTTTGCTTTTGGCGGCTCTTTACACTGAGTAGATGGATTTATAAATTGGACTTTGGGTGGGCATGTTCACTCTTCTCAGAGGCTCTTCTGCTGAGCATTTCCAAATTTTCCCATTGATAACAGGCAAACCCCAATCCAGGGGTTTCCAAACCTGGAAATTACCTTGAATCTTAATTTGGATAGTTTTTGTAGAGCTTAATTATTTGAACGTTTTGTTAGCGCAATCCTAACGGGGTATTTTATAATATCAGAAAAGATAGTTTTAATAAAGCTGTCTAGAGCTAGAAAGAGGAACTCTTCCTTTGATGCTCCTTTGGTAGATGAAAACATTTTTGTTCAATAGGAGACCAGCATCTTTTTCTGCTCATTTGAGATCAGTTCTGGCAACATACTGATATTCATTCAAATATAAATGCCATATTCACTTTGAAATGCAAATTGTTTAAAGAAAAATAGCATATGGTAGAGGTAAGTACCTTTTCAAATCAGCTCCCACACTTTAGGGGTGTGAGTACAGCTGAAATTATTCTTTGGAAAGAATCTGGAGCCTTTGACACATTGAAGCTTGAACTAATCAAGGCTTCCCAGTAAGCATATACACATATCCATATCAAGGAAACAGTGCTGAGAATACATGGATTAGCATAGTAATTTAACTGCCCCCTGCTAATCAACTTAAGCAACCAGCTGATGCATATATGATGTATTTGAAGAGGCACTCTCTCACAGCTCCTGAATGGGCCAGGTAGCTGACCATGGATTTCGTGTTAATGTCGAGATACGTATCTGTCTGTCTACGTGTAGTTGTACATATGTGTGTGTATACATGTACAAGTGGGGGAGACAACAGATGCAGAATGCATCAAGGTGTTGCTTGTAAGATCTTGATGTAAAAGCTTCAGGTGCTTAACCCAATGCGCAGGGTTTGCTTTTCAGTGAGCATTGTTGGCCTCTTCTTTTTAACTGGCTCTCGCTTGTCTGCTAAAAGACTGAGATGATTTCTGCTGTTGAGGCTTTATCCTTGAGCAAAGATAAAAGGCAATTGCTTTGTGGAGGCCTGGATTGGGGTTTGCCTGTTATCAATGGAAAAAACCGTAGGACTGTTTTGTAGGAGCTTTGTGCAGCGTACAAAGTGTGCAAGAACAGCAGTTGACTTGACTTCCAGTAGTCCATGTTTTGGTGTGGCAGCGTTCATGCCTACTGGGATGGTGAAATACTTGTCCTGAGCATGCTGTGATTAAACTGAGAAGTGGAAAAATTAGCAATGGATTGGGAAATAATGATTTTAAATAAGGTTGTGACTAACAAGTTTGTGCTAGAGCTGAACGCATTCAGGAGGGGGAGAGGAAAGGGCACACTGTTTTCTGTAGTCTATCACATCTGATATCTAACCATGGATTCTGGCTTGCATGGTCAGATATATCATGAAAAACTTACAGCACATGAACAAAGTACAATTTAACTTTGAATAAATGTTATCACGAGGGTTGCAGGTAGCAGGGTCATCAGACTGTGGCAATAGAAAAGACAGAGCTGTGTTGGATTGCATCACTGATCAGTGAAGTATTACATGATGGGACTTGGCACCTATTTCTTGCTGGCAGCCCCTACCTTTCAGAAATGTGAAGGAAAAAATCCTGTTTTGATTTGCAGAATGACTCACTTCCTCAATAGGTTGTCATAATGTGGGGTGAGGAGTTTCAGAAGATGACGTTAAGGTAAAAGTAAAGTTTTTGATGCTGACATGATGATCCTTTTAAATTTTTGATTTTGCATCGTAGTTAGAAAGTGACTGGACACTTCTGTTCAAAAATTTGTGAACTAGACAGAAGATGTCGACATACAAATAATTGCACCTCTCTGTAACTCAGCCACCCAGCATGGAGTAATGGGGATGTGTCATCCAGGCAAAGATGTCCAGAAATGGTTTCCTTTTTCCCCATAATACCTAGGAAACGCTCTGTCTCAGCTTTCACCTACCAGTTTTCTCCTTCATGATTTTTTTGTTTTGTTTGTTACGAAGATGCTATTGCAGGATTTCATCACATGTAGCTTCCCATTTTACTAGGCACAGTGTGAAAGATGGCCACAGGCTAAAAGTGTGCTTTTGCGGCACTGCTCTTGAGTCTGGCAGGTTAGATATTTGTGAAAAAATAATTGTTTCCAAAACCATTCACCAGTACTAATCTAAAGAGGCCCAAAAAGATGCTACAGGAGAAACAAAGACCTTTGACTGTGTTGGTGGTTCTTTTCTGGCTCTTTTCCCATTTCCCAACAATCCTTTTGAAGTGATGGCCTCAGAATTGAGTACAGTGTTTCAGATGCCCATCATGGTCTGCCTGGCTTGGGGTTTGTGTTGAGTACAGTGTTAACACACACTCTGGCATCCATCATTGACTCTTTAGTCCTTCACAGCAGTGCTGCTACTGGACTAACCACTACGCCGCCTCTGCTGCTACACCAGGTTGTTCTGCCCCAGGAGCAGAGCTGAGGACTTCTCCTTGTTGAACCACATGGTGTTTATGTTGGCCTAAATTTCAAATTTCTAGAGTCCATTTGGTCTCAAGCCCTGTCATTCATGTCAGCCACTGCCTTTAATTTGGTGTATTATCAAAATAATTTGTTAAATGTTCATAGTGAAATCCAGAGGAAAAGGTTGTTTCAAAGTCAGCATCAGTGGCATCACAGAAGTTCATTTTGAAGGAGATGTCTCTTCTAGGAGACGTCAAAACATACGTACTGTCAGCTAGCGTTTCAATTTTCTGTTGCAACTTTGAGATACTGAGCTATAATTTCGTCCTCTGCTTTGTATCTTCTTTTCTGTGGGCCTGATTTCTTTGCTGAACATTTCATTGTGAGATATCTTTAGAAGGTGCTAAAATGCCAGCATTAGCAAATTGCTCTCAGTTGATGAGGTCAAGCACATGATGTCCTGAAGAGGACAGGTTGTTGGAGGTATAGATTTTTTTCAACAGTTTGGCAGATGTTACTCTGATTATGGAATTCTTTTGGACAAAAGGTTTGCCCAGGGAAGGTGATTAGAGAGGAGTTACGTGCCAGTAGCTAAAGCAGTGCCTTGAGAGATGCCAAAATGGCTCCAAAATCCACCTTAGACTTTGCGTAATTGAGCAAATCAGTTTTTTCTCTGTGTGTTTCTTGTTTACAAAGTAGAGATTGCCAAACGGAAGTTCTTGAGACTAAGTACATTAAAGACTCAGGTGGACAGATACTGAAGTGATGGATCTGTGTTAAGGACTAAAGGTGAGATTTAGTCTTGGGAAAGGGGAGGAGAGAAAGGGACAATTATGCCAACTCTAATAAACACAAAGTAGTTCACTAAGCTCTGCTGTCTTCCCAAAGGCTGCTCTGGGAAAAGACATAATGATAGAACTGGGAGTTAGGAGATCTGGGTTTTATTTTCAAGTCTGCCACAATCTTCCTTTGTGGCCCTGGGTCATTTAACCTCTGAAAAATGGGGGAAATGATAGCAGATAATTAACAACCTCACAGGAGCACTGAAAATTAATTCATTAATTTTTCTGAACTCATCAGTAGAAGGTGCAATGGAAATGCAAAGTGTTAGGGTATCTCATAAAACTGTGTCTGTTTCTTTCCTTTTCCACATCTTTTAAAAGAATATCCTTAAATCCGTAGAAGACCTACGGTGGTACCTTTTGAGAGCCTGCTGTGAGGAATGAAACTAGCATTGTAAAATCTTTGTGTCTTTATAATATGCAGGTCCTGTGCTAGGAATGGAGTAAAAATGTGCTCAGAAACCAAAACTGTAGAGCAGACTTTTGCCCATATCAAGTTGTGTGTGTAGGACCGTCAGAAATCAGAGTTTCTGGATAGGTTTTAATTGTTTTGTCTCTAAAATTTATTCAACCAGATCACACTTCTCCTGTTTTATGGTGAGAAACCTGTCCTTGTTGCTCCCTCTCACGCACACCTCCCAGCATTTTATTGTCCTAGACCTCACTGATCATGAAAATACTAAAATTGTTTCTAGTGTTTATTGGGTAAGGCTATTCTTTGTATCTCACCTTCTGTGTAGTAGGCCTTCAGTTAGAGTTGTGATGGGTATATTGCAGCAAGATGAGACACAGGAATGATACTTGCGGTCAGCAGAATGAGCTTCTATTGTGTGTCTTTTATCATGATATTGTTTTAAGATTAGAAATCTGAATAAGTTGGTTTTGCTTGGTCTTGCAATGCTAGTAGTTATTTGCTCCCCCTCACTGTGTTCTTGGCTTCACCTGGGGGGCATACTTCTGTGAAATATTATTTAGAGGTAGATTGTTTTAAACTCTTTGAGTTGGCTTAGTTGGCTCATCTCGGTTGGTTTGTGTAAGGCAGTGGTTTTCAAGAATAAATTTTATTTTCTGTGCATAGTCTGTCTTTCGTGGTCTACCTGTAACAAGTGAAAAACCTCTACAAAATGTGACTGGTAGCAGGGTTGTGGAAGATTGTGTTTTCCAGAAGATAAATGAACAGAATGAGGTGAAATCTGAAAAATCTAGGCTCTTTTGTCTGAAGTTCTGGCTGGATTTAAGTGGCCTGCTGAAATCTGTGGTGCCTCAAGCTGGTCACAGGACCATTGTCTTCAGAGTTTCAGGGAGGGCTGCGTTGGTTTTTGTGTTGGTTAAGTAATCTCTCTTTCTGCCCTGTTATGATGCCCCCATCCATCTTCATGCAAATCAATTTTTTCTTCTCTATTGACACGATTTGTTTTCCATTTATGTCTAGGGAGCGTGACTACTAGCACATCTGTGTCTCAGATGGCAAGTGGGATCAGTCTAGTCTCCTTCAACAGTCGTCCGGACGGTATGCATCAGCGCTCTTACTCGGTCTCCAGTGCAGATCAGTGGAGTGAGGCTACAGTCATTGCAAACTCTGGCATTAGCAGTGGTAAGAAACCTGAAGCTGGGGGGATTATCTGCTTTGGGGTGAAGGGGGAATTTGGTGGTTTGCTTTTTTAAAAAGAAAAAAAAAAACAGCTACAACCTGATGGTGTTCACCCAGGTGCTCTGTTGAAAGCCAAACTTCTATCATCTGAGAGAAAAAGGAGAAATTAGATAAAAGAGCACAGATCAATACAATACT